ATTAATGATATTACATAACAATGAGCTCCATAAAAGATTGAACTAGTTGGAGAATAGAAATCCCGAAGATGAAAAAGAAAGGAGAAATAAGAGAAGGAATGATGGAGTAGTAAGACCAAGTAGGCTTGAAGGAGTCAAGCTTAACATTCCCTTATTCAAATGAAAAAGTGATTCGGAGGCATACTTAGAGTGGGAGATGAAAATAGAGCATGTTTTCTCATACAACAATTATGAGAAGACCGAAAAGGCAAGACTTGTAGTCACAAAATTTTTTGACTATGCTCTTGTTTGGTGGAACAAGCTACAAAAGGAGAGAGGTAGAAATAAAGAGCCAATAGTTGATATATGAACTGAGATGAAAATGATCATGAGGAAGCGGTATGTGTCGACTAGTTACTCAAGGGACTTGAAATTCAAACTCTAAAAACTTACTCTAAGCAACAAGGGGTTTGAGGAGTATTTCAAGGAAATGGACATTCTCATGATTCAAGCAAAAATTGAAGAAGATGAAGAGGTAATTATGACCCAATTTATTGGTGCTTTGAATATTGATATACGTGATATTATTGAGTTGCAAGAGTTTGTTGATATGGAAGATTTGTTTCATAAAGCAATTCGAGTGGAGAAACAACTCCAAAGAAAAGGAGTGGCCACTAAGAGTTCTACCAACTTTGAATCTTCAAGTTGGAAGGACAGACGCAAGAAAGATGGGGATGCTACTTCTAGTAGTTCCACACTTATTTTTTCAAAGACTCCTTTAAAGTCCCAAAAATAACCCTTTAAAAAAATTGGAGATGTGAAGTGTTTCAAGTGTCAAAGCCTAGGACACTATACTTAGGTGTGCCTTAACATAAGGTCCATGGTTCTTAGAGAAAGAGAATATATAAGTGAATATGAGGTTAAAGAGGTAGAGGAGAGTGAAAACATTAAGGAGGAGGAGACTCCAAAGGAAGATTTATTGATGATTAGGCGATTACTTGGTAACCAATTGAAGCCTACAGAAGAAAGCCTAAGAAAAAACATCTTCCATACTAGATGTTTAATCAATGACAAGGTGTGCATGAAGATCATAGATGGAGGTAGTTGCACCAATATGACTAGTGCTAGATTAATGTCACAACTAAATTTAGCTACTAAACCACATCCTAGGCCTTATAAAATTCAATGACTTAGTAAGGATGAAGAGGTGCAAGTGAGATAGCAAGTTGAAGTGGATATTTCCATTGGAAAATACAATAATAAGGTGATTTGTGATGTTGTTCCTATGGAGGTCAGTCACTTACTTTTGGGGAGACTGTGACAATTTGATAAAAGAGTTAATCATAACGGGTTCACCAACAAGATCTCTTTCATACACCAAGACAAGAAGATTGTGCTCAAACCTTTGAGTCCACAAGAAGTGCGTGAGGATAAAAAGAAAATGAGAGAAAAACTTCTTCAAGAGAAGAGAGAAAAAGAAAGCCTGAGTGAAACACTTTAAAGGAAAAAGAGTGAAATACTTGAAGTGAGGGAGAGTTATTTAACTACAAAAAGTGAGTATAATGTTAGTTTCACATTCAATGTGTTTGACTTATCTCTTTTTGATGTAGATAGTGAATCCGATTTGAGGACAAATCCTTCTCAAGAGGGAGAGAATGATGGGGACATGACCATGAGCAAGAACAATGATTCACTTGAAGGACTTGAATGACCTATGACAAATGTTAGACTAAGAGAAATAAAGGAAGTTCTTCAACAAGTGTTGTCCATATTATTTGAATACAATCCCACATTTCAAGATGAAAAGACCAAAGATGTGAATTGTATTATGACCTAAATGGAAGAAGATTAATACGTCACTTTGTTTTAGTCTTTAAGTTTGTTTAAATAATGACTCAATCCTTTGTAAAATTGGCTGACCAAATTATGTTTTGGGTTAATCAATTAATAGACTTTAATTTGATTTTGTTTCAAGTTGTAATAAGGGCCCAATTGGAAACTTAGACATCAACCTTTAGAAGACCAAGATGATGCATATCCGATTAACTTTTGGTTGTCACAATTTCGATTACAATCAACCATTAAGTAGTTTTCAATTCTTAGGTTAATGAATCATTATTAACATTTATTTGCCTCAATTAAATAGTTTCAATTCCCAAGTTAATGGATTATTATTAACATTTTTCCCTTTATTGAGTCTTTGTAACTCGATGACAAAAACTTCTATATAATCTGAACCATTTTTATCAAAAATACAAGTTGAATTTTATTCGAAGTATTAGAGTTTGACTCTTTTATCTTGGTGAGAGTGATTCTCCTAAATTTATAAGTGATTCAAGAATCCTTGGTCTGTATCAAAGGACTTTCACATCCTTTGTGAATTGCCTCCCTTGGGAAGAGTGATTCTTTCCTTCGACCTTTCACATTCACCTCTTGTCCTTTCTTCATCATAAAAAAAAAAAACTCAATTCTGTCCAGATTTATTTCGTGGTCATAACTTTCGTTCTACTTTTCCAAATTGAATGTTTTTTAAGCCTAAATTGAAATTCAAAACGAGAAATTTCACCTTTTTTTTATAATCACCTCAATCGGAATTTTATAGCTTGAAATATCGATGTTTCTAAAATTCTGCCCAACCCTAAAACTTTCATCAATTTTTAATCCACCTTCTCGCTAATTTCGTAAATGTCCTACAAGGTTCTAACCTTAAAGATCCTAAGTTAGCTATTGTGCAAATGATATTCATATCACATACATAGCCATCACGTTCCGACAAGTCATCGGTAGCCCTATCAGCATCAGTGCCCTCTATAACATTACCAAGAGGAGAGCGATCCTCGACGACGACCACTTCATCAGTAGTTGTGAGCGACGAGTTGGAGGAGATATTGTCTAAGCTATCTTCTTTCATACGGTCAGTCGACACATTTCCTACTCTCGTCGACGAGCCATTCAATGATTTCTTAGAAGCAGAAGAAGAGGAAAAGAATGAGTAAGTCATAACTCCCTCAAGAAAAGAGACCAAGCACCAGCAGGAGGTTGGAAAAAAACGGAGAAAAAGGGAGGAATAGTAGGCGAAACGATGTAGCGCAAGGAGGTAAAATGTAAAACTACCTCCACACATCCCATTATACAAGCAAGGGCATGTCAACCGAGGCCCATCCAACCCCAGTTATGCGATCTTGTCCGAATCAACAATTCAAATTTGGCGAGCACGTCTTGGAGCAAAAACTTTTGAATTTTCCCATCTTTTTCGTTTTTCCCTCAGTCGTGTTTTTTCCTCGATAACTAGATATATTCTAGACGACACACCGAGATGGGATGACTGACATATGAAAGATATCCCCCTGTCCTCAACTCTATAACCAAATACATCCTGGACAACGCATCAAGATGCGTTGGTTAGCATATAAAAGATACGTTCATCGCCTCCACGTCAACAACTGAATGCTAACTGAGCAGGTCATGACACACTTGCATCGTCTCTGCTTGAGCATGAGGGGCATGTGTACTGTATCAGTAGTTCTCAACATAGTCCCACATTTGAGAGTCTGAAGTTATACCATCCAGCTGTAAAGTACATAAGTGTTACCAAACATAAGGTAAAAGGCCCCTCTAGACACATAAGATAGTTATTTACTAAATATATCATGTCTTTACTAACTTGAGCGTCATACTGTTTTTCTTGTAGGTTCTCCCATCCTTCATACGACGCCGAGAACCGAGACTGAGAAGACCAAGAAAAAAGAAAAAAAAAGAATTGTGTGAGAAAATAGTGAACCTAGTTTGTATTCGAGTCTTGCAAGAACACATATTGAAAAAAGTAAAAGAAAAATATAGTGTTATAAGATTGGAAAATGGTAAAAAGATAAGATGCTTGAAGAAAAAACAAAAGAAAAAGAAACATGTCTAATATAAACTTTGATAACGTATTTAGTGATACTTGAAAGTAATTTTAAACAATTTTAAGTATAATTTTTCATATAATTTTTTAAGGTGTTATTTTAATAATTGAAAATAAATAATTTATAAAAATATTGTTAACGACAAAATTTTTTAACACTAAAGATATGTAAAAACATTCCATTTAAAAGGGTGAATTTACATTTTTTTTTTGTTTACTTAATCAGATGTTAGGTGAATAATTTAAAAAAAAGTTAATTGTTCATTTAAATTAGAGCTTTTACTTTTAATCACGTTTAGGAAAAAAAAGTAAGTAACTTTTAGGGACTATATACACTTTCATGTATACTCAGCCCAAATATTTCCCATTAGAATTTGTATGTAACAATTAATTCAAGTATATCACACATTACTTAAGTTTATAAAAAATAGGTTTAAAGTTACAATTTAGCCCTTTAACTTGTTTATATATTAACTTAAAAAGGTTGATTTAATCTTTTAAATTTTAAAACAAATTATTTTGGTCATTTCCTTCATAATGTTGACAGAAAATTTAGAAAAAAATTATCTCTCAATTAAGTGTATGATGAGTTGTTATTAATTTTTATGTTGACATTATTTTGTTTTAAAAATAACAAAATTGTTATGATTTGTTAGGTTAAAAGGAACTTCTTTACTTAATTCACAAATTGAAGTTCATGTTATTAATTTTTTCCAAATCTAACAAATTAGGTTTTAATATTAGTTTGTCTATCTACAAAGGAATAAGAGTAGAATTAGCCTAGAAAAATACGAAGGTACAAAGTAACCCATTGTACAAGTTATTCCGATTAAATCAAACTAAGAACGGCTCGCTAGACACTGCATTCGCTGCATAAATTTCCACACGGCCTAAGACGAGCAATCTCTGATAATCACCGTTCGTTCCATTTGTAAGGCCTTATTGTGAGTACCGTCATCTTACTTTTTTTTTTTTTTTTCCTTTTTCTATTTCTCTCTTGTCAGTTTCCAAAACCCTAGTTTTTCAGAACATCGTCCTTCTTTTTGTTGAATTAGGTAGGAGCAGTTATTTCATGTTCTGCTGAATTGCTTTTGCAGAGTCCATTCGCATTTGGAATATGTCTCCCTCGTTGGATCTGCCTCCCAAGGGTGGCTTCAGTTTTGATCTATGCCGAAGAAATGCAATGCTTGAAAACAAGGGTCTCAAGGCCCCAACCTTTTTGAAAACTGGGACCACTATTGTCGGTTTGGTTTTTCAGGTTTGGAATCTCTCACTCATCTATCTTATGTCGTGTTATGGTTCACTTTCTGATGAAGGGATTGTGAATTGGTTACCGAGATTGCGAGTGGGTTTGCATAGACTCATATGATCATGTGAAGTCATTGTTCGGCTTGGGAATGGTGTATGAATAAATAATTTGTTCTGGTTGTCTCGCCCTTGGGTTTCCATCTGGGGGGAAATGCGGGGGAATGAAGTTCAGCATGTGTGAATGTTACAATTTGATTGAATTGGGCGTTAACGGTTGGGAGGATTTGCTCAGGTTTTGTGGTCTTGAATGTTCAATTTTTTTTATGTTTGGGCAATATATAGTTCTGGAATTATGCATTGTTTTATTGGGAGAGAATATGATAAACCTAAACTTGCTCTGGATATCTTGATTTGTATGGTTCGGAAATGTTCTATCAGTAGGACTACTATTCGTCTATCTTTTCTTTGAGTAACTTGATTATTGATGCTAATAATATCTTATAGTAAAATGTTTAGTTTTGTTCTCTAATATATGGATGATTTTCATCAGTTATATTGGGTGGCATGCAGGAACAGTTGAAAACAATAGGTAATGTCATAAAGCTCCTGCATTGATATACAAAATTTGTGATATATAAGTGGCTTCTTTAAGAACAGCTAATCGTATTGAACTTAGTGGTGCATATTGGGTGGATTGGTTGAGCTTTTTCTTGTCTACTTTTTCCAACTAACTAGGATACAATCAATGAGGCTGTGCTTTTAATGGTACGGATCTGTCTAAATAGTACATACTACTTTCGTGTGTAATGGTCCACTAACTAGGAATTGTACCATTTGGTAATTGTGCTTTTTATGACTGTTCATGACAATGTCATTTAATTTTATCCTAACAATGGTTTGTGACTTCATATGTTGATTGCATATTTATATTTGAATGTCTCAGGATGGTGTCATTCTTGGAGCTGATACTAGGGCAACTGAAGGACCTATAGTGGCTGATAAGAACTGTGAGAAAATTCATTATATGGCACCCAACATATATTGCTGTGGAGCAGGAACTGCTGCTGATACAGAGGCTGTAACAGGTATTTTTCATACTGTGTTATGCCTGATGGGTAGTTGAATAAGAATCATCTCTAGCTTTTGCTCGATATTTTTAATATAGTATAACCATTGAAAATGAGAATGTAGACATGGTTAGCTCACAGCTACAACTACATCGCTATCATACTGGTCGAGAATCACGAGTTGTTACAGCTCTGACCCTTCTTAAAAGACATCTATTCAAGTTGAGTTTCAGAACTTGCACATCAAGTGAACTTACTCTCTGTATCAACCACTGGATCTGACTTTTAAAACTATTATGCAGTTATCAAGGTCATGTCTCAGCTGCTTTAGTGCTTGGTGGGGTTGATATCACTGGACCTCATTTGCATACAGTTAGTTCATTGCTTAAAACCTTTTCTGTTATACTCAAGTTCCTTGTTTAAATGCCTATAGTTCAATTTCTCAATACTTTTGATGACTTGTTTTGCAGATTTATCCACATGGGTCAACTGACACCCTTCCATTTGCTACAATGGGATCAGGTTCACTTGCTGCAATGTCTGTATTTGAGTCTAAGTACAAGGAAAGTTTGAGCGTAAGTAAGCATATTAAGGCATAGATTTCGTTATAGTGTTTTGAGGAAAGACACCCTTGGTTAGAGGAGTGCATTTGGTACATTGTTTGGTGGTGCCATGGTGGACTAATGTGATGGATTTTTGGCCAATCATCATAGGCAAATTGTGAAGGGAGGCTTACTATGACAGTGCTATAGATCACACCATGACATGTTTTTATGTCAGTTTTGGCCATTAATAACACTGATTTGATTGGATTCTGTTGTGAAGTTGCTCAATTTATAATCCTTTAAAGGGAATGATGTGAAGCAAATATGTCAATTTCAATTCTAAATGTCAGTGGTGCATTATTTCTGTTATTATTGATAATCAATACTGGTGGTGTTCTTACTTCTTATCATGTCAGAATGCTGAATTTTGATAGAGATTTTAATTTGATATAAACATGTTGATGTGGTGTAGCGGGATGAAGGGATAAAGCTAGTTGTGGAGGCAATATGTGCTGGTATATTTAATGACTTGGGAAGTGGAAGTAACGTTGATGTTTGTGTGATAACTAAGGTTAGCGCCTTCATGCCCAATTCTACTGGTTTTTCTTTGAGGAGAGCCATCTAACTTAAAATTTTTGCACAATTTCTTCACCAATCCTTCACAGGGACACAAGGAATATCTCAGGAACTACCTTCTACCAAATCCCCGTACCTACGCCAATCCAAAAGGCTTTGAGTTCCCCAAAAAGATAGGTTGGTTGCAAGCTTTGCAATTTATTATACCTGAGAATCTATGGTTTTGCATATTGGCATGACATTGTGTCACCTTGTGAAACTTCTGATGATCTTGGGCATTTGGTGTTGTGAAGTATTCGAACTTGGATAATAACTGAAGTTATACAAGTCCTTTTCAATTTGTAGTAATGTGCATTTTGCCTCTTGTAATTCCATTTAAACAATCTTCTGCTTTAACTATGAGTTAATTTGTTGCTATATCTAAATAATTGGCACTTGATAGGGTTGCGAATTTGATGTACATGTTTTTCCAATTGAAGAATGTAAGGGTACCTAATACTGGGCGAATATTAGGATGGAATGGAAACAGTTACTAATTCCATTCTTGGAGGGCAGGGGAAAAAATTGATTATGAGCATTTTTTTTTTAGTAGCAACCAGTGCCTGACTTAGGGAAATGGCAGAGAATAGCATTTTTTGTGTAAAACACTGAATAGCCTGGCTTTTCTGTATCTGACTGGATATCCTTATTCTGCTTCCTTTTTTCTCTAGTAGATTAAAAAGTATGGACTATATTCCTTTAGTGTACTAAATATTAATTCTTCATTGCAGAGGTCCTCTTAACGAAGATTACTCCATTGAAGGAGAAGGTTGAAGTGATTGAAGGGGATGCCATGGAAGAGTAACAGAATAGTTGGTGGTTGAGTAAGAAAACTTGATTAGTCAATGACTGCCATATTTAATTATTGTATTGTCAGAACTGGGCTTTTATATTACCAAATTTTTTTAAAATTTAGATTTTTGCAAATTATTTTGTCAAATCTCTTAGGTTGATTGGATTTTTGCTAGAAATGCTAATTAACAAAACTCTAATAGAAGCAAATACGCGCCAATTAGTTTATACAACTAGTTTATCTAATAATATAACTCACTGGTTCAATCAGTAACTGATTAAACTTTCTCAACTGAGTCGATGACTTGATTCTAATAAAATGATAAGCATATAACAGGAAAAAAAAGGTGAAAATGGATCGCAGTAAAAAAATTAGAGTTTAAAGTATATCAAGAATTCAAATTTGCATGGAATTGGTGCTGCAGCACAGCCTTGTATTAAAAATTCCATTAGAACTTCTACCTGTACATTTAAAGCATGACACTTTTTTTTCTTCTATGCCTAATCATTGAATTATGTGGTTTCTTGTGTCCTCAATCATGCAGTTTTTCCAACAATCTTGCTAGAAGCTTTAGCATGGGATACAGTGCTACCATGATAGCAAGCGAAGTCTATAAGCTTTTTCCTCCCTCTTGCCTTTCCTTTTCCCTCTTTCTTTTCGTGCTCTTCCTAAAAAAGATAGAAAACAAATTTGGTTTAATGAACAAGGTAGTTCAAAACACAAATTTTTCACTCTAGATTCGGAGTTCTTATATCTAATCACGAGTAAATGTTTATTATTACTTTTAGATGCTCTAAATAAATCATGTGTAACAAATTGATTGTCTTGCGTTTTATGCTATCAAATTTCAATTGGTCTTGAGAGTTGCATTGAATTATCGTAATTATCTCAAGAAATGTAAACTTTAGTTATCAAATTGACATTTACAATTGATTTCTACGTAAAAATATTCAGACGGTGTGTAATAATTGATATAATATTTGTATTGCCATATGATAAATACAAAATTGACAGGATTTTTTTTTTCTTTTTTTTTTTTAATACTGGCGACCATTTTGCTTTAATCTTTTTTCTGGTGGATATTTTCGTTTTATGGTAGTTAAATTCGTGCTCAGAGAACTAAATATACATTCTACATCTAACATTACTTATAAAATAAATGAAAACCAAGTGCAAATTAGGACATCATTACCATATTATTTAACTTGTTAGAAACGACACTTCCCTCGTTCATTAGCTTACTGTTCATGATCAATGAATCTTCCCCTACAAAAGAATACAAAAGAAGCAAGCTTTAGAATGATAATTCATTTACGAGAAGCAACGGGTTATTGCTAATCGTAACTGACAAACCAAAACAAGAATAATAATTTGACATGAAACGTGATGAAAATGTATGCATGATGGAAATAATCATAATCATATGTAACGTGCACGTCAAATGATTATGTGTCGGATAAAAACAAAAAGTTTGTTAGAGTAAATGAACAGAGAAATCAACCATATGATGATAGAAGAAATAACGTGAGGCAAAAGAATGGAACGTTTTATTGAAGGATTACGTGCGGTGAAGGGGGATGCATGTTGTATGACCTTTTTTTTTTTGACATTTTTTTCCTTTGTGCTTCTTAGACCCTTTTTCCTCTGACCATCTCCTTTTCTGATTCTGCTCTGCTACTCTTTATTGCTCAAGGTTATGAAGGTGTAGGCGATGGACCAAGCCAATTTCATATTTGATGTTTGAACCTATTATTATATAATAATATGTGTTGATTAAATAGAATATTCGTATCTCTACTGTTTCACTGAACATCAACATTAGTACTGTTCCATTGGTGCTTTCATTGACGCTATGGCTGAGAATACACGTTTGAAGGATTTGCAAGCTGAGATTAAAGGACAAGTTGAGTCTCTGAAAAAGATGATGGACCTGATAGAGCTTCGTGATCGTGAACAAAAGGGCTCATACGCAATCGGTTCAAACTGAAGCTCAAAATCGGATGGATCAGATACAAAAATCCTTCGATCTCTTGCTAAATTCATCAGTGCAATCTCATTCCTATGGTGGTTCAGCATCAAACTCTTCCTTCGGCGCTACAACTCTTCCGGTTAGGGATATTTCCCTTGAATTTCCTCATTTTGATGGACAATCTTCCGTGCTGGAATGAATTTTTAAGGCTAAAAAGTTCTTTTACTACCATCGTACATCGGATGTGGATAGGGTGGAAATTGCAGCGATGTATTTTGAGAAGGAGGTCGTCCCTTGGTTTCAAGTGTTACAGAGGATGTCAACGATTCATTCTTGTACAGAATTGACCAAAGCTTTGGAGTCACAGTTCGGTCCATCTCCCTTTGATTGCCCTATGGTTGACCTCTTTAAATTGCAACAAAAGGGTACAATTTCTTATTATTATCTCAAATTTATGCCCCTAGCGAATCGATCTTCTGGTCTTCAAGATGACACTTTGCTGAATTATTTTTTGAGTGGTTTACATACTAAAATTAGAAGAGACGTGGTTGCCCAAGCTCCTACCTCCCTATTGAGAGCGGTCGCTTTGGCTAAGTTGTATGAAGAAAGATATTTTTCAGTGATTAAAACTAGCTCGGTACCTGTTTGATGTTATTCTCCAATCTCGTCGTCATCTCTGTCAGTTAATCAGAACCAAAATAAGAGCAATGTGACAGGTGCATTACCACCATTGTTACCCACCCCAAATGTGAAACCATTGAAAGATGTGAATGTAAAGAAAATGAGCCCAGCGGAGATGCAAATTCGTAGAGAAAAGGGTTTATGTTATTTTTGTGATAATAAATTCATTTTTAATCATCAATGTCCCAATAGGCAATACACATTTTTGCAATTGGATGAGACCTTGATTGATACATCTGTTGATCCCCCTCCAGAGCCTGATCCACCAGTGTTGCTTGATGAACCGATTATTGATGATCACCATTTATCTTTAAATGCGTTAAAAGGGGGAAAAGGGGTAGGAACTATAAGATTTTTAGCTTATATTGATAAGCTACCAGTGACTGTTTTAATTGATGGAGGTAGCTCATATAATTTTTTACAACCACGTATTGCAAAATTTTTGAAACTTCCAGTGGAACCAGCTCCACCGTTTAAGGTAATGGTGGGAAATGACAACTATATGGCAGCAGAAGGTTTGGTACAAAATGTGGTAGTGCAGGCCCAAGGAATTACTTTTCAAATACTAGTTTATCTTCTTCCAATTTCTGGAGCAGATTTGATTTTAGGGCACATTGGTTGAAAACAATTGGACCGCACGTGGCTAACTATGAATCATTGAATCTAAATTTTTTTCATGATGGTAAATTTGTTACCTTGCAAGGTGATGTGGATCATGGTCCAATACAAGCTCATCTACACCATATTCGCAAAATGGTTCATACACATTCCATTGTTGAAGCGTATAATATGCAATTGATTAATTACAAATTGCCCAAGTGTCCACTACCTGACTTACGAGTTGATATGGAACTAGAGTTGGCTCTCTTATTGCGTTCATATGCGTCTGTTTTTGATACACCAACGTCATTGCCACCTCATCGAGCACAAGATCATTCTATTCCATTAATGGAAGGTTCTGTACCAGTTAAAGTAAAGTCATATCGCTATCCTCATAACCAAAAAGAGGAAATAGAAAAATTAGTGGCGAGTATGTTGCAAGAAGGAATTATACACCCACTAAAAGTCCCTTCTCTTCACCAATAATTCTTGTGAAGAAGAAAGATGGGTCGTGGCGGGTATGTATAGATTATAGAACTTATAACGCACTAACTATCAAGGATAGTTTTCCAATTCCAACGGTGGACGAGCTGATTGACGAATTATTTGGTACTTGTTTCTTCTCTTAGCTGGACTTGAGATCAGTTATCACCAAGTTCTATTAACTCCAGTGGATAGATATAAAACAACTTTCCATACACATCATGAACACTTTGAATGACTTGTTATGCCCTTTGGGTTAACAAACGCTCCAGCCACATTTCAGAGTTTAATGAACAACATTTTCAAGGAACTTTTGAGAAAATTTGTTCTAGTTTTTTTCGATGACATTCTGATTTATAACTCTTCATGGAATGAGCATCTTTTTCACTTGGAAGTGGTCTTGCGAATTCTCCAACAACATCAGTTATATGTTCAGTTTTCTAAATGCTCTTTTGGAGTTAAAGAAGTCGAATATTTGGGTCACACGTTATCCGGACATGGGGTAGCAATGGATACTACCAAGTTGCAAGTGGTAAAAGAATGGACTCAACCTGCTAATTTGAAGCAAATACAAGGATTTTTGGGATTAACAGGATATTATCGTCAATTTGTGCCAGGATATGCCCAACTCGCAACACCATTGACTGATCTTTTAAAGAAAGATGCTTTTAATTGTAATGATTCAGCCACAAGAGCTTTTGAGAAATTGAAAGAAGCCTTGATGACAACATTGATTTTAGCTATTCCTAATTTTGCGGAGTCGTTTATACTTGAAACGGATGCCTCCGGATCAGGTGTGAGAGCATTTTTAAGTCAGAAGAACCATCCAATTGCCTATTTTTTTGAAGAAGTTGTCAGGACGCATACAAAAACAGTCAGCCTATCTACGTGAGTTTTATGCCATTACCGAAGCCTTAGCAAAATTTAGACATTATTTACTAGATCATAAATTTGTGATTAAAACTAATCAGAAAAGTCTCAAAGAGTTGTTGGAGCAAAGACTGCAATCACCAGAGCATCAACAATGGTTACACAAATTTTTGGGTTTTGATTTCACGATACAATACAAACCTGGTAAGGAAAATATTCCGGCCGATGCATTATCTAGAAGTTTTATGATGGCGTGGTTAGAAGCTTGTAATCTATGGTTGAACAAGGTAGTTGTTTCCATTCAAATAGATGATAAGTTGAAAGGAGTGTACGAGCAGTGTGTGGCAAATAAGGGGCACTATCAAGAATATGCAGTACAAGATGGTCTTTTATTCTGGAAAGGGCGTGT